TTCTGTCGCCGCCGCCATCACGTTCCCGGCAGCCACCGCGGGGCTGTGCGCGCGCCCCGCCGGCAGAGACCCCGCCCCGCCCCCTTTGCCGCGCGGGGCACGCCGGGAGTTGTAGTTGCAGCCGCTCAAAGCTCACGGCGAGATTTGGGCCTGGAGTCCTTTTTCCTCTGCAGGTTTTTAGGCAGCAACTGTTTGGGGTTTATGAGGACATGGCCTTTATGAGGAGAGCCTCTTAGGAGGTGTATGGGCTTTCTGAGGACAGCACCTTTATGGCCTGCATGGGCTTTATGCAGAGAGATCTTTTATGATGAGAGCTCTATCATGAGGTGTATGGGGTGTATGAGGACGGTGCTTTTATGACATTTATGGTGTTTATGAGGGCAGAGCCTTTATGATGTTTGCCTCTCTAAGGTGCACGGGCTTTATGAGGACAAAACCTTTATGAGGTTTGTGGCATTTATGAGAACATCTCCTTTATGATGACAGCCCCATGAGGAGGTTTATGGGCCTTATCATGACAGGGGCTTTGTGAGGCCTGCACTGTTGTGAGGTGTGTGAGGGTGATGAGGACAGTGCCTTTATGAGGCTGCACCATTATGGGGTGGATGGGTTCTATGAGCACAGAGACCTTCTGAGGCTGCCCTAACCTCATGGGGTTTATGAGGAGAGACACTTTAGGATGGCCCCTTTTTGAGGTTTATGGGCTTTATGAGGAGAGAACCATTATGACATGTAAGGGTGTTATGAAGACAGAGATTTCATGCTGAGAGCTCTTTTATGAGGTGTTTGGGCTCTATGAGGCCTGCACCATTATGAGGTTTATGAACTTTATGAGAGCAGTGTCTTTATGAGGCCTGCACTTTTATGAGGTGGGTGGGGTTTATGAGGGCAAAGCTTTTATGACGTTTATGGGTTTTATGAAGACATGGCCTTTATCATGGGAGCCCCTGATGAGGTTTATACCCAGATAAGTTTAATAAGGGGAATCACTGAGGCACTATTATAGACTTGCATTAGAACTTTGGAAATGTCCTTCAGGGCAAGCATGTTCCAAAGATATTGAATTTCAGTCCAAAATGTGCTGCTGTCCCTCGAAGACAATTACAGAGGTGACACCATGGGACTGGCCAGTCATCTGTGGTCTCTGATTATGAGAGCACCTACACTCACTCAGATCCCAAAGGTAAGAAAAGAGTTTTGTTGTATCCTGAGGAGGAATAAACTGCTTGGCATCAAAAAACCCCATAAAATCCCACAGCCAGTGGTTTATCTCCTCTTCTGGCATGCACCATGTTCCACACCAAGGCCAGCAGCACTGATTGTGTCACAGCACATCTACAGAAAACACAGTTACAGCTCTACCACTAAAAGAAGTTCTCAATAGATTTAACTGCTGAGGGAGAAAAGCCCCCTTAACCACATTCCATCTCCAGCCTGCTTCCACTGATCAGGTCTGGTTTGCTCCCTTGGCAGAGCCAAACAGGCATTCACTGATCTCCTCTTCAGGGAAATACCCAAAACCCACAGCCTGGGGTTTTGTTTTAAAGATTACCCTATTCATCAATCAACTAACTACACCAAATCTAAT